TTCTGATTGAACTGCCAAATAACCACAGACCCATTTAGTTGCGAAGGCACCCAGACAGGTTTATTGTTAACGACGCATGCCATAGTATCCCATAGACTCTACAGGACCACTGAACACATGCATGCCTGTCATAATGGACCAGCTCAGTCAGTAGCGGGACTTTCTGCTGCCCCCTATGGCAGCCAAAGGCACTCACTCGGAGACTCCATTTTATACACTGATACAAACAAGTTATGTGTTGTCCCTCTGACATGGTCAGTTACTGCCCCCCGACGTAGTTTGTTGCCACCCATTACCTTGTAAATGTCAGTTCGATCAAAACATCTCTATCCATCACACCAGGGGTCGGCAACCAATGGCACGCATGCCAAACATGGCACACGAGCCGATTTTGAGTGGCACACAGCTCCCTGCCGCGGTCCCAGCCCCCAGTCCCACTCAGCCTCCCCGTCCACCACTCTCCCCTGCGGGGGCAGGAGGCAGAAGCTCAGTTCTGCGGCAGCCAAACTTCCCCCCTCTCCTGCTTCTTCCCCCAGTGTGGTGCTTTCCGGCCCCGCCTCCTCTCCTTCCCTGCGCCAATCAGCTGATGGCCCTAGCGAGGGGGAGGGGGAAGAGCGGCAGCATGCACACAGCTCCGTAGAGGAGGCAGAGAGAGGTAGGGACAGAGCATATCCCTTCCAGCCCTCTGCCATGAGCCGCTCAGGGCAGGGGGCTGGGAGCACCCCCACGAGCCGAGCACCCCAGCCTTCTGCCCTGCACTCCCCACACACCCCAGCCCTCTGCTCTGAACTCCCCCCACCCCAACACACACCCAGCCTTCTACCCTGTACCTCCACAGCCCCATCCCTCTGCCCTGAACCCCCCCAACACACACCCGGCTTTCTGCCCTGCACCTCCCCCAGCCCTCTGTCCTGACCCTTGAACCCCCCCACACACCCAGCCTTCTGCCCTGCACCCCCCACACCCCCCAGCCCTCTGCCCTGAACCCCCCCCACACCCCAACACACACCCCACCCTCTGCCCTGCACCCTCCACACACCCAGCCCTCTGCCCTGAACCCCCCACACTCCCACACACACCTGGCCTCCCTCCCCTCTCCCCCCCCCCCCCTC